AATCACAAAGAGTACTTTCTTCATTTAAAAACATGAGATACAGTGAGAAGGGGAAACACGCCATAAAGTCTTGAAACATGTTTTTTAAAAGTTGAACTTGCATCAATTTTACATGGTTTTCTAAACATGCCGCTCTCTTGTGCGAGATGCGAGTGCAGCGGTGATAGATGTCCCTCTAGAAAATGCGATAAATATGCGTTCTGTGTGAACGGCTTGGTTTCGGTTTTGACGTAAACAACAATAAAAATGACTGATTGTTCTCTTTTTCTGCAATATTTTGAATGAACAACGTAGCAGCACCGCATCTAGTGGGTCGCATCTACTGGATAGGCTAACAAAAGCATTAAAATGCAACGACACTTACATCGTCATTGCATCTCGTGCGCCACTGATAAGGCTGCCTGACGCACACCTAAAATTCGAATGCAACGTTTTTGCATTCGAATGTGGATTTTTATTTTAAATTCGACGAATATTCGAAATTCAAAATTTTTTTGACAGCCCTACTAGGTAAGGTACACAAATCAGTGTTGTTATTGTTAACTAAAATTATTGATCATTTTAAGTAATTGGAATAAAGCTGAAATAAAATAAAATATAAATATTAGATGAAAAACTTAAAGTTAAAAAAATTGAAGTATTAAAATTACCAAAGAAATGAAGTAAAAATAAATTACAGCTAAATAAAAATAGTAAAAGAGCAGAAACTAATAAAAACTAAAAATTAAAATTAAAAAAACTAAAATTAAAATGAAAGCTTTTAAATGGCAGCTAACTGAAATAAATAAGTTGAAGTACTAAAATTACAACAAAAAAAAACACTAATAAAAATGACAAAAGCACATAACAAATTTACTAAAACTTAAACTAAAATTAAAATGAAAACTGAAAATATACACATTTTCTCAAAAAATACTATGTATATACATAACAGTGTTGTTAGTGTTAACAAAAAATAAAACTATTAATAATTATTTTAGATAACTGAAATAAAGCTGAAATTCAATAAAATATAAATTTTCGATGGAAAACCTAAAACACTTTAATTAGGATTCATGTCTTGGCAACTAAAACTGAAATAAAATAAGTTAAAGTTTAAATACTAAAAAGGCACAAACTGAAATAGAAATAAATTAAAGCTAAATAGAAATAAATAAAGACCTAATAAAAATGACAAAAGCACATGACAAACTTAAACTAAAATAAAATGAAAAGTGAAAGTAAAATCTCATTCGAAATATGAATATTATATAAATACTAAAATATACAAATGCACACTTTACCTTTAACAGGCAGATTATGCATTATGTTAAACTTGAATATTTAATCAGATAAATGCGTGAATGAGTCTCACCCATTGGCTGGATGGTTGTTCCTGAGACATTCTGTGTTCCCGGATCCAAAACACCCCCCTGACCGTCTAACAATGACTGGACATTGAGCACCGTCTGATTGTCCATGCCTTCAACGGGACAAATATGCATTAATCAATCAATATATATATTTTTTTATTAAACTTTATTTGAAAAGGGACCATGTACAATTTTAACATAAATGTTTCCATTTCATGCATTGTACCGAATTTAGCCAATGGCTAGTTTTCATCCGCGGTCCCTTGGCAGGTAATCATAATCACAGATATAGAACAAAATAACAAACATATACAATACAGTAATACTTATACACATCCCATCAGAGCCACAAAAAAAAAAAACAAATAAATATAGTAGATCTTACAGAGACTGTAGAGCGAAAATGCACAAAATCACGAAGTACAGAAGGGGCTAAACCATTAAAAATTTTATATACCATACACAAATTTGAGAAAAGTCTAAAATTATCAAAGCTCAAAAAATTGTATTTCTCCAAAACCCTACAGTGGTGATATTGGTTAGGCTTTTTATCTAGAGTTTTAAAGGTCTGTTTATAAAGAGATTTTAAATCTTAATCCATCAGTTATTTAACAAACCAACAAATCACTATCTGACAATTACACCAGTTACAATACTGTTAAGTGAGTGTATACATATACAGTAGTATTAATAATTATAATTACTCTCATCACTATTTGATCTGGATTGGTCAAACACAGCATTATGCAAATATTTTGTATATACCAAGCACTGGTTTCCTACATATCTGTGCTAGTTGTCTCTAACTCCCTTTCTTTGCACATATTATATATAATTATTTACACTCAAATCAATATTTCACACCAATATATTTATTTATTTAAGAACATATGTACGACTGTCTAATGAATATGATTTCCATATTCATGCACCATGATATTTATGTTATATACTGTAAGGTAATTCTAAGAATGCGATATAGCCTATATATATATATATATATATATATGACCATCTCTTTCGATCATAAATCCAAGTTTAGGGAAGGAAACATCTGTAAAACAAATATACCAACTTATATCAAATAACAATTACTATTTTTCATATTGAACATGGGATTGTTAGTGTATTATAGCACAATAATAATAATAAAACACATTTATTAGATGAATGCTGTTTAGCGGCTTTTCCAGTGATGTGTCTCTCTCCCTCCGCCATGATCCGCAGCACGAGGCTGTTATTCCAATCGCTCTTCCTCCCTCCTCTACATCAATCTCTTCTCAGGTACATTCAAGTGAATGAATCAAATTGACCGCAATCCTGCGCTAATATTATTTATATGTTTTTTAAAATGTATTTCTGTTACTATTCAGACACACTGACATTTACACGAACCGAAACAACTGTGTAAAATGTGTTTCTTTGGCCTGTACGTCTCGAGCGCGCATGCATTCGCACTGTAAACATAAAATACTATAGTACAGCTTGTAATTATGCTGGAGGATTTTAAATAAAGTGCATTAATACCTTCCAGAACCTCAAATATTGCCTGCGCCATCTTGTAGCTCCTGTGCATAACGCCAGCGGTGGGCGGGGTTTATTACAATCATTTACATTGAACAGAAAGTTTGTTATTATTAATTTATTTAACTAGTTATTTTTATGACATCGGCATCTCACATATGGTTTTATATATGCATTCAAATCCGTGCAGTAATTAGTATTTTTTATATAAATATGTATTTTTTGCATTGATATGAAACATACCGTGTGACTAATATGTCGATTTTTTATACATAAAGCAATTTTGCATTTGCTGTAAAATTAAAGCTTTAATAAACGTGTAATGAGATAAAATACAGAATAGATTAATATAGATTTAATTAGTCTAAATTGTGTCATAAACAACAGGATATAGAGATATATTTTTTTGCATAGAAAGCGATAATTATTTTTTGAATTTATATGAAATTAAAGATGATGGTCGCATAGGTTAGAAGAATTCACAACAAAATAATGTCAATTTAGATTTCATTCAACAACTTTTCTAGACGATTAGACAAAAGCTTACAGAGGTTCTTTATTTCTATACATACAAATAATGACATGTCCAACTGATCGAACAAACTCTTCATCCGTTACCATTATTCATTAAAAAACTTAAATAAATCCAAAGACGTGCGACGTTCAGACAACTCTTATCTTTATATTTGAAAAACGCGAAAAGAAAGAAAACGGGTCGTCTTTGAGTGACAGCTGCTTCAGCCAACCAGCGGCCTGGGAACTCTGACGCGTAGCGCGAAGGACGCGGGTTATCAGCCAATCAGCGCGCGGCACGCTGGCACGTGTCAGTTTCGCGGCAAAAAAGATTTGGCGCGTAAACCTTTGAGCAGGTTCCGATCAGCTGGAACAAAAAAACACACAACAACAACAGAAGCGATTCCTGGCGCGTCGCTCGCGGGGACAGTCGGACCGCACCTCTCTCCTGTTTCAATGGATTTATGCGTTAAATGAGCGAGAATCTGGATGTTATTTGGAGTTAATGACAATACTTCCTGGATGGAGTCATCAAAAAGGACAAAAGCGAAGGATATTTTGGATTAAAGTGTCAGATGAGAACAGAAACCGGATTTGTGCTTTGTTCCGCATCCAGTTCGGGTTATATCTTTATATTTACTTTCTCTCCAGCCTGTTTACCAGTGTAATTACACGCTTCTAACGCGTTTACCAGTGCTCATGTAAAAACAAACTCTATTACTTACAAAATATCCCAACATCGTCAATAATTTGAGGATTATATTTAATCATTTCATGTTTTATGCACTTTAGAGGTTGAAATTGCATTGCTATTTGTTTATGATGATGTTTATTTATGATGAACTGTGTGTGTGTTATGCTTTTCAGCCATTTTCAAAGCACTTCCTTAAAAGAACTCTAAACTCATAATGCATGTGAAACATAGCTTAAACGTGTTTCTAAACAGCATGCGTGATCTTATTCTTAACTTTTATTAATGTAAAATGTTTTTTTGTTTTGCAAACTTAAGTTGACCTAAATTCTGGCCTTGTTGTGGTTTGGGAGTCTCACCCTTATGTTCAGTCAAGGCCTGTTTTTAACATGCTTTTGAATGTCAGAACGTGGCTTATCCAGCTCTACTCTGTCTCATGCATGGCATTTTGAAAAGCAACCTGTTTCCATGCATTGAAAGCCATAAGGATTGCAAATAAACCCAGAGACTAAGTGACCCCTGCTGTTTTAGCCCGATATGTCTGAGAGTTTTATATCGGGCCAGACCTCGGAGGACCTGCTGGTGGATTTTGAGTCTCTCTTGAACAGTGGCAGCATCGATCTCAGTGAAGATCATCAAATCGTCATCATCTCCACTCCTGGCACGGCCACGGCCAGCACTGCAGCCGGCAACATCTTGCTGTTTGCCACCCCTCATCACACCACCACTGCCACCACGACCCAGCCAGACCACCGGAGACCCACTTTGGGCCGCCCGCCGGTACGACTTCAGCCTCTTCGGACACCAGTGCATGTGTTTTATTCCATGCATGTGAACTTTAACCTTTATGGAATTTTCACCATTTGAAATTCCATTCCACAATGTGGCTTAATGGATCTGGGCTTGTAACCCAAATCCTGTAGGTTCAAAATCCATAAGGAGTGGTTCATGATCACCACTGTACTTGAGTAATGTAGGCTTAAGTTCACAACTCAGATTTCTCGATTACCACTAGATTATCGGCATGCAATTAGATGTTTGTTGAGGCAGCATTATTGTTTTATGACACGTGAATTATTTTAAAGTGGTCATATGATGCGATTTCAATTTTTCCTTTCTCTTGAGCTTTGTAAAAATCGACGCGTTTCAGAAAGGCGGGGCATAGAGGAGAAACAATAATGTACAGTATGTGGAAAATAATGTGTTTTTTGAACCTTAAACCGCATAAACACATTTCATTACACCAAATACACAGAATAATGTTCTTTTTAGCAGCATCATATGACCCCTTTAATTACGCTGCGATTTTATGTTATTGTAGTAAGGTTTTGTTTTATGATGCATGCATTGGTGTATTAATCTGACTAAATTTTTTTTTTTTTTAAGATGTTAATTGCTCTACAAGGTCATAACCCCTGCTTTCCTTTTGCTTTTTGATTTCAGGTGAAGAGGAAGTTGGATTTGGACAGCGATCATCAGTACATTTGCACATCCCGACCTGCTTCACATGGACCAGAACCTCCAGCCACACCTGCGCCTCCCAGAGGTATGTACATTTGTTAAAATAGTCAAGAAAAGCTGGAAATATCAATCAATGGCGAATATAAATAGTGTTCAAAAGTTTGGTGTTGCTAAGATTTTTTTTTTTTTTTTTAAAGAAGTCTTTTCTGCTCACCAAGTCTGCTTTTATTTGATCAAAAATGCTGTAAAATTGTGAAATATTATTAAAATTTAAAAGAACTCTTTTCTATATAAATACGTGTTACAGTGTAATTTATTGCTGTGATCAAAGCTGAATTTTCAGCATCATTACTCCAGTCTTCAGTGTCACATGGTCCTTCAGAAACCATTCTAATATGCTGATTTCAAGAAACATTTCTGATTGTTATCAATGTTGAATATCAGTAATTTTTTGGAAATGCTTATATTTTTGTGATTCTTTGATAAACGTAAAGTTCAAAAGAACAGCATTTATTTGAAATGAAGAGCTTTTGTAACATTCTAAATGCCTTTAGTGTCACTTTTGATTAATTTAATGCGTACTTTCTGAATGAAAGTATTAATTTCACTCCTCCACTGCAGCATAAATCAGTTTTCCACATGAAATCCACTCTATTTTAGTGCCGAAAGTGGCTACGGAGAAGTCCCGCTACGACACGTCTCTGAATCTGACCACCAAACGCTTCCTGGATCTCCTGGCTCAGTCTCCAGACGGCGTGGTCGACCTCAACTGGGCCTCTCAGGTGCTGGACGTCCAGAAACGGCGCATCTACGACATCACCAACGTCCTGGAGGGAATCCACCTGATCTCCAAGAAGTCCAAGAACAACATTCAGTGGCTGTGCGTTCATCGTATGCGTCATTGTTTTACTCATAAAGGGTGTGTGTAGTTGTTTATCTGTGGTGTGTTCAGGGGGAACCGTATCGACGGGGCGTCCGTGGCCAGGTTTCAGGCGCTGCAGAGAGAAGTTTCTGAGCTGACGGAGGCCGAGGAGAAACTCGACGAGCTCATTAACAAATGCAGCTTACAGCTACGGCTCCTCACTGAGGACACGCACAACAAGAAATATCCTTCATCTCAGTGTGTGCGAGTGAATAGCGGAGAGTGTAATCTTCTCAAAATGTCCTTTAGCTCTTTTTTTACTCTTTCTTCATGGTTTAGGTGTAGATTTGAGTGGTTTGTAGCTGAAATTATTTCTAAAACCAGAAAACTAGGATCTGAGCAGCTCGAGTAGACTAAGATGTTGAATTTGTGGATATTGTGATCTTTAACGGAAAGTCACGCTGGGATACGTTAGATGTCTGGACCTGCGTAACACTGTGAACCCGCCGGATCAGATCATCATGGTGATTCGAGCTCCGCCGGAGACGCAGATGCAGGTGTCTGAACCCACTGAGGTGAGAAAACACACACTTATGCAGATGCAGGTGTCTGAACCCACTGAGGTGAGAAAACACACACTTATTTATTCTTATTTATCTGTATTTTTATTAGGGCTGTCAGTTTAACGCGTTAATTAATTAGTTATGAAAAATAACGCGATTAAAATATTTTAATATTTTAGAGGTCTGCTACCCGACCCAAGCCCGACGGGTTTCGGGTCGGGTTCGGGTTAATGTTTAATGAATAGCTTCGGGTTCGGGTCGGGCTCGGGTTTATATCTAAACTAAAACTATATGCAGTAGGCTACGCTGCTTTCATAGATGCACGCACACACATTATTGCACACGACAACACAGCACGGAAACTTTTATTAGTAAAATAGCTTCGACAGGCTACTGACTCGCAACGTTATACTGTATTTTTCTGCAATGAGGCGCTGTTTTTGAAGGAACTAAGCCTCATTGCTTGTAGAGAGAGACGCGCAGACGCAGGTTCACACACGCAACTTTCATC